GTTAAAAACCAGGGAATTTTATGGAAGATTAGGTGAAGAGCTAGGAAAGCGTCAGACGAAAAGGAGGGGGAAATAAAAATGTCAAAGTAGAAGCCGGATGGAAAAAGGCTGGGGGGGAGGGAGGACAAGATGACAAAATGATATCAAAGTTAGGGATTGAACACTCGCGTTTGTGCGACCTATTCTTTAAGTTCGATATATTTGTCGCCTGTACGGTTTTAACTAGATATTTCGTATTTATAAAATGATATCAAAGCTCTAACTAGGGAAACGCAAAATTCATAATCGGGGGGGGGGTGTATATGTCCCCTTGCGGACGCCCATGAAATCAAGAACTGTTAAGGAAGAACTTAGGTAGAGAATACAAAAAAAATCAAAAATAAACTAAATTAATTAGACATAATTACAACGTGCATACGATATAACACCTATAATTAGGGAAATAATATTAACTCCTGTATGTGGTATTCCGGACTTTAATAAATGTAGCAAGAAACTGATTTAAAAAAAAAACGTACAATTAGCCAAAGTCACTTTCAGATAGTGCTTTTGTGGTTCAACTGTTATTATAAGCGGGTTGTTTTTGTATTTGTTTCTTTGCTTATTGTTAAGCGTAAAGTAACACAATGATCAATCTGTGCTGTAACCATTGTAGCTATCGAAACCCGATTCTTAGCGTGATAAGCCTCGAATTTTCAGCTCTATACATTTGCACAGCTACACCCTTAACTTCGTACCTATGCAATTTTCGCTGGCATATGCAGATAATTTGGGGGGGGGGACAAATTACTTTACTTTTCTGCGATTGAAATTAATCAAATAAGCGAATAACCTAATAGGTGCTAATGTGAAAAAGAAGCTAGAGACGGGTACATGGGTGTGGTGTTAGGTACACGAGGGGTGCGAGGACAAGTTCCCTCATGTTTTTTTTTTTTTCATTAGTAGAATATAACTCCTCATTTCAAAAGCAGTCCTCCAGCGCCATCCCCAGTTAGGCCCCCTGAAAGGATGAATTCGAAACAGTCTTCATTCTACTGAATATCTAGTTTCTATTTACGATAGCTGTGATTCATTAAACATTAAAACTGATTATTATTCAGTCTCTACTTTTTATGTTTATTTTATTTCATAAATAAATAGGTGTGTGTAAATCATTTGTTTTACTTTTTTCCGTGTTATTTCTTTCTAGATCACTTCTCTTCTGAAACCGCCTTTCGTGGCTCTTAAATAAATCTCACGCCTGTTTCCAATAAACAGACGAATTCGTATGGTTGGATAACACTGTCATCAATTCGGAAGTTATCTCACAGGAGCTAGATTAATGAATGATTATGGATATGATAACACCAAAACCGTTCAAGCTGATGTGAAAATAAAATGAAATAAACATTTTCTTCAGCGATTGCTAGAACGAAAATTGGATTGTGATTGTGTTCGTTTCTATCAGAAATTAAGTGAGCTTACCGAGATAACACTGTACGAGTTAGACAATGATTTATCTAGTTATTTTAATAAGATTTAGACGCAACCAATTACGAACTATACAAATACAAGAAAAATTAAACTTTATCATTATACAGAGTTTCATTTTCACATTCAGGCGTCGGGGTAGGGGGGGGGGGTCAACACTAATACTCCATTACGCTCACGTTTGATCCACTTCCACTGCAATCTAGGTGCATCACAACTCTGACAAAAACAAAATAAAAATAACTTAACAGCGAACGTGTGTGAAGGTAGATAAGACGCGCGTGCGTAGCTAACACTAAAATTTTGTGCGTGGCTGGGAGAGATGTACGTAAAAAATATCTCGTAGAAAGCAAGTACAAGAATGGTGTTATATATATATATATATAACATACATACATACACGCACGCGCACACACACGAAAGGCGGGGACATGTCCCCCTCACTTTTTCATAGAGGTTTCTCCAAAACGTAAGTTGTGAAAATTCATATTGAAATTAATCGTAATTAATCATACCCATCAAATTATAATATATATATGGTAATTTCAGAACAACATGAATATGTTTGTTTGTGAATTTCGCACGAACTATACATATGTTCGAACTGGTGTATTTAAGTGTTTTACACTCACAAAAAAAAAAGAAACCTATCATTCTACAGGTATTTGAAGAACTT